CAGCTTAGAGTGCGGGAAGAGAGACCTCTGTGGACAGGCGTTTGATCAATCTACATTTCTTCTCCCCTTCCAGGAACGAGTTAACTGAGTCTGGAGGTCTGTTTCATGCCCCACGTGTAATCTTCCTTATTATGCTTATCATATTTCTGGGGCAGCATCTGTGGGGCTTTGAAGCCTCTGGCAGAAGCCGAACCTCTCTGTAAACTGGCTGAATTACATTTACAAGAGGCCTTTTAATGTCCTGTGGTCTCAGCTTCCTTAATGGGGATTTTCCTTCTCCTTTTTCTCTCTCTCTTTTTAATACGGTCACCGGTTTGGCTCTGGGAGTGCGGTTTGGACTCCTAACAGAGAAGTCGAGACCAGAGAATCCCTTCCAGATCTTCCACCCATGGCCGATTGCGCTAAAGCCCCAAGAAAGAAAAGAAAAAAAAAAACCACGGCAGCCGGCAGGATTTCAGGGGGAAGGGGAAGTCCCTGCTGAGATTCTAGAAGATCAGGCGAAAAGTGGCTTGTGCAGGAGTTCTCCTCCAGCTGCACGTGAGCGCAGGCGCCGAGAGACCCCAAATCCAGGGCACAGCTACCTCCTTATAGAGACTGGGCTCAGGGGACAACAAGGGCTTCCATGATGAAGGTCTGCTGTGGGTGAGGGGGGTCACACGAACCCTCCTCATCTAGCCCCGCTTTATCCACCTCCACCCCTCCTTCCCTGAACCTTCTGACCTTTGTTGTTGTTAGGTGTCATTGAGTCGAGAAAGACCCATCGCGCCCCTATGAACAACAGATCTGAACCCTGTCCTGTGCCGGCCTGACACTTCCTGCCCATTGCGGCAGACACCATGTCAGTCCACCTGGTCAAAGTTCTTCCTCTCCTTCGCAGACCCTCCTTCCCAAACTCCCTCTCCAAGGAAAAGCCTCTTCTAACAACATGCCTGAAGTATGTGAGGCAAAGCCACATTGTTTGCCTAAAAAGAGCACTCTGACAGCACTTTCTCCAAGACATATTTGTTTGTTCTTTTGGCCGTCCATAGGATGTTCAGTGCTCTTATCTAGCACCACAGCTCAAAGGCATCAATTGTTCTGTCATTGTTATTCATTATCCAGCTCTCAGATATATAGCAAGTGATCAGAAAGACCATGGCCTGAATCAGACACATCTTAGTCCTCAAACTGACATCGTTACTCCTCAGTAATTTGGAGAGGTCCCTTAGTGCACCCTTTCCTAGTGCAATACATCTCCTGATTTTCTGACTGCTGCTGGTACCAAGGTTTTAATGGTGTGTATGTGTGTGTGTGCATGTGCATACACACACATGCACAGGAATCCCTTGGTGGTGCAAACCATGGACACAACCAGCTGCTAACCTAAATGTTGGAAGCTTAAGTCTGCCCAGAGGCAGCTCAGGAGAAAGGTCTGAAGATCTGGTTATTTTCATCTGGCAGGACGAGAAAGGACAGGTGGTCGCTGTTCCGTGCAGGTCTGTGGGCCCTGGCTCCTTCTCTTGTCCCCTGTGTGCCTTCCTCTGTTTCTCGGTGAATCCTTCAGAGTCAGAGTTCCTGGGTGCCTTAGTCGACTAGTGCTACTCCGGCAGAACTGTCTTAAGTGGGTAGTTTACAAAATAGACATTTCTTTTCTTGCTGTTTCGGAGGCTAGAGGTCTGGATTCGTTGAGAGTTGGCTCTAGAGGAAGGCTTCCTACAAACTTGAGGTGTAGAGTTCTAATCCCTAGCTTGCTTACGGAGCTTTGGTTGCCTAGTGGCAAGATGCTGTGCTGCAATTCTAAAGATAATGTTGTTCGAGTCTACTGAGTCTCCTCCCATGGGGTACACAACAGCAGCAACATACGTCAGAAGAGACTCTGCCTCAAAATATACCCTGTCCTGTGGAGCTCTGGGCACCTAGTTGTAAAGAGTTGCGCCGCCAACCCCAATGCACATGGTTCTAATCTGGCAGCTGCTCTACAGGAGAAACGTGGGCAGTCTCCTCCCATGAGATTTACAGCCTCTGAAAGCCCGCTAGAGGGTCAGCTATGAGTCGGCTCAAGGGCACAAAACAACACACTGTACTAATCCCACATCATTACTTACATGACCGAGACAATCCATCTGTAGCCTCAGGCTCAGAAGTTAGACTTTACAACGTGTACGGGGTGGGGGCAGGCAGGGACCGCAGTTCAAGACACTGGATCTGGTCAGCCTCCAACTCCTCTGACAGATCACTGACTCAGAACGCCAGAATTGCGGCTCCGTGCTGCCCATCCTTTTGTCAGTCCTGAGAGCAGGTCTCTTCACACCATGTGTTTATTTTTACATGACGTCCCTGTGGCCACTCATACATGCTCCTGCAGTGTGCCTACAATAAAGCGACAGGCAACCAAAAAAGGGTAGAGGCGCAGAGGCAGGGAATACCAAATCCGTGACATCTTCCCCCAAGTTGAAGCAGCCGTCTCCAGCGTCTTGATAAATCACATTTTATCTCCTTTCAAGAAGAACACACAGCAGAGCTCATTTATCTCCACGACGCTGTTCAGTCTGCACAGTGTTGCCTCTCTGACGTGGGGCTGGCCCCTCTTCCTGACTTCAGGGTGAAAGGAAGGGAGACTGGTGGAGGACGATTCTAGGACTGGTAAGTGAATGAGCGAGGACTTGCTGAGTGTCCTCTGTACAAGGGAAGCATGTGGGCAGAGCAGAGAGCTGGAAGGCAGACCGTGGCCTCAAACTCAGCGTGTATGGAGAGAGGAAAGATACGGATGGGAAGCAAGTCACACACAAAGTGATGCAGCTGATATTCCAGTCTGACTTTAGCAGGGCTGGTGACTGGTACCTGTGGTGACAGAGAAGGCAGGGATGTCTTTAGCACCTGCCACCAGTGGTCTCCTCACCTCCGTCACCTCTACCTGCTGAACTGGCTGCCAGAGGGCTTTTTTCTACCGTGGGAGCACACTCAGAAGTGCCAGAGTTAGTGCTCTTGGAAGCAGCCCTCAGTGAGAGCTCAGACCTTAGAGAGTTAGTAGGGAAATGCCCCAGCATCCTCTCCGCCCGTGGGGATACCTCTGAGGTGTGCTCTGCGTTGTCTCTCAGCATTTCCTAACCGCACTGAGCTCCAGCTGCCTACAGGGATCCATCAACTTGATAGTACTTCCTTCCCTCCCTTACTCTACCATTCCCAGGAGAGTTCTTGGAATCATTACCTAAATAAATGACTTGAATTCCAATCTCTATCTCTGGAGCTACTGAACCAATGGCCTTTCTTAGTACTGAACTTGAACCTGGGTAGAAGAAGCCCATATAGATAAACATGAAGTCCACATGCAACTGAAATGACATTCATCCGGATTTCTGTAGGGCAGATGATGAAAACCCATCTCCAGCTGATTTGAATAATAAAAATAATGTCATTATTTTATGCAAATGCAACATCCTTGGACAGACTTGCATTCAGGAACAGTTGTATCCAGCTGCTCAAACAATGCTAAAGGAAGCTCTCTCTTGCTGTAACTTGGTTCTACTTTTTAGTCTTTTAGGAAACATTTCTTTAGTATCTACCTTGTACCAGCCATAGTTCCTTTCTTTCAGCTGATTTCTTTCTTAGGGATTAATAGAGATGACCAGAAATTCCTGAAGAAACCCTGATCTAGGGGTAAGGGGGGATATGTGCTTGGCTGTTAACCAAAAGGTCAGCAGTTCAAACCCACCAGCCCCTCCACAGGAGAAAGATGTGTCAGTCAGGTTTCATAGTATTACAGCCTTGGAAGCCCTTTGGGCAGTGTAGAATGCCCTACAGCGTCGCTATAAATTGGAATCAGTTCCACAGCAACAGGTTTAGAAGCCCCAAGCTTGCCAGCCTACCAGTCTAGCAAGCACGAGAGAAATAGGGCACCAGCCTCTGCCTCAGGGCTGACTCTCCTTGGCCCATTTTGAGTCCCCTGTCCATCTCTGAGCCAGTCACTGTGCCTCTTATCCTTGTTGCTGCGAGTAGGATGGGGGTTGGGGGTCAGACTGCGGTGGGCCCCTGTCAGACCACAAGGGCTGCGAATGGAAGAGTGGGCTCTCCAGAGGGAAATCTATTAGCCAAGGACAGTGGGTGTCTCTTACAGCTATGGAGCCATGCTCCGGGGACCCAAGATGCATCCGACAGGCTCCGGTGGAAGGCGTCACAGATGGCTGTGACACCCCACAGAGCTTGGTAGAAATGTGGGTGTCCTGCAAGGGGGCAGGGTCACTCCAAGGTCAGTCAGTCAAGGAAGGTCTTCTGGAAGGGGACATTGGCCCTGGACGTTGGCAGCCACTGGCTTCAGAGATGTGAGCCATATCAGACGGAGGGGTTCAGAGTCTACATTTACCAGATAGGGAAGGACCATGCGTTGAGCTGTTTGTTGATTGAGTTTGGCCAGCTTAGAAATCTGCTGGTAAGGTTTAAGGCACGGGCACTTCCTGCCAGCCTAGGCCCTACCTCTCGGGGGTTTGGCAGCCCAGCAGGGCAGTGCCAGCACAAGTGGAGGCTATGGGCATGAGAGGCCAGGGAACAGCCAGGCTGGGCAGCCACACTTCCCTTCATGTTGACTTGTGTCTGCTCTAGAAATAACCACCCACCTGAACTAAGAATAGGAATTCCTGCATGACTGGTAGAAATGCATGCCAGTTTCTCAAGGAGGGTTGGGTCAGAAAACAAAGCACAGCATGTGGGCTGGGCCGTGCTTCGTGCTTATTTGTGAGGTCACTTGAGAGCCGCACCCACACTGGTGCATTGATCCTGCATCAGACAGACCATGTAGCTTGTCCAAGTTGTTCATGGACACCCAAGATGGCAGCTTCCGGGACGCCTCGTCTGCTGGAGAAATCCCGGGCACTCAGCCTCGAGCGCCTCCTATCCCCTGGCAAAGGTGACCACTCCTTTCTTGCCTCTTTGACATTGGGCAGAGAAAAGGGGAAACTGAGGCAAAGGTGAATGAGAGTGGACAGTTTTGCCCAAAACCACTCCACTGATGAACATTTCTCTTCCAGGCAAGATCCTCTTCCGGAGAAGCCACATCCGGGACATAGCCGTGAAGAGGCTGAAGCCCATCGATGAGTACTGCCGGGTAAGGGAACCTCTGTTCCTTCCTTCCTGTCTGTCTGTCTGGGAGTCTACCCATTGGTGAAGGAGGCTGCCTGTTTAATAGATGCATCCTGAGGCCTGCATTTCCTGGCTAAGAGTTGGGAGTGTGGGAGTGGGTATACCTCAAGGAAGGGCCACCCCATTCCTAGGGCAGCCCTTAGGCCATGAGGACCTCGAATTCGTAGTTCAGACTATCCCCCTTTTAGGACATGGCCATTTGAAAATGACTGTCCTAGCTTCCTGACGTTATGCAACACACAGAAGTGCTCCCTGAATTCTTTTGGTGACATTGTTGGTATCGGCTCTGACCTAATCCTTATGAATCCTTAGAGGTACAAATGTTCCCATATACATCTTTGTACATGCAAGTGCTCATGTGCACTGTCTCACACACAGACACACACACACACACACACACACGTATATTCAAACATTGAAGAGCAGACAGGAGAATTACAACTATGTCCTGAGCCAAAGTCAGTTTGTTTTTCTGCTCTGACCACAGCTGAGGACCCCTGTAGTGAGAATGTGGAGTTGTCTGTGTTCAGTGTCCTTGTCACGTGGCCTCCGGATAGGATGACTGCCAGGGTTCCAGTCTCAGCCTGGCTCCATAAACTTGGGCAAATCACTTGACCTTTCTGGGTCTCAGTCTCCACAGTCAGGAGAAGTACAGCACCCCCACAGAAGTACAGCAGTGTTAGGGGAAGAAAGGAATGGATCACATAAAGGCAAAGGAGCCCTGGTCACATAGTGCGTAATGTATCAGGCTGCTAACCTAAAGGTTCAAATCCACCAGCTGCTTGTGGTTGATGGTTAAGTACCATGAAGTTGAAACGGACCCATAGCTGGACCTCCACTAGGTTTTCAGAGGCAGTAAGTTAGATGGGAAGAGACTGCCCATCTTTCTCTGGCAGAGCACCTGGTGGATTCAAACCTTTGAACTGGCAGCACAATTCCTTACCAATAAGCCACAAGAGCTTACTACCAGCTGCTTAGAGACAGAAAAGTTTGCATTCTCTTTCTTTAAAGTTTTACAGCCTCAGAAGTCCAGTGGAGGCCGCTGTGAGTCAGAACCCACTCAGTGATGGTGGGTTTGGTGTTTTGTTTATATAAATAAATGTAACAGCCCAAGGCCTGGCACAGAGGAAACATTTAGTAAATGCTAGTGTTGTGTCACTGTTACTGGTGAGTGCAAATAAATGTTAACTACAGGGCAGCAGTGACTTTAATGGAGATGGCATTTCTTAAAGGAGCCAACTGTGGAACCTGGCTCAAGCCTCTTGAAGAGAGGCAGGGAGAGTGTAATGTTTTGGCACCAGTGGTAGGATTAGTTTGTGATGAGCTGAGGTCCAGTCTTAGTGCCTCTTTTACTAATATGTGACCACGGACAAGCTGCTTTATCTCTCCGAGCTGTTTTCTCATCTGTAAATTGGACATATAAAGAGCTGTTTCATGAGGTTTTGGATTGAGTTGTTGGTAGGTACGATTGAGTTGAGGACTACCCGTAGCGACACTATGAACAGCAGATCTGAACCTTGCCCTATCGTGTGCCATCCTCACTGTTTCTGACAAACTTAAACCCATTGCCGCAGTCATTGCGTCAATCTGTCTGGTTGAAGATCTTCCTATTGTGTGCCAACCCTCTACCTTTCCAAGCATGATGTTCCTTTCCAAGGAATAGCCTCTCTTAGCAACATGCCCAGAGTATGTGAGATGAAGCTTTATCATCTTTGCCTCCAAGGAGCACTCTGGTCACACCTTCTCCAAGATCTGTTTGTTTTCTTAACAATCCATAGGATATTCAGAGCTCTTTTCCAGCACCACAACTCAAAGGCACCAATTCTTCTTCTGTCATCCTTATTCCTTTTCTAGCTCTCAGCACCATAGCAAGTGTGGCCTGAATCAGACACACCTTAGTTCTCTAACTGACGTGATTGCGCCTCAGTAATTTGGAGAGGTCCCTGACTGCAGACTTTCCCTGTGTAATACATCTGATCTTCTTTTTTTTTTTTTTTTTAATTTTATGTGCGTGTACCGTCAAATCAGATCTGACTGGTACAGGAGGATATTGCGCCTCCTTCTCCGGCAGAGCGTCTGGTGGATTCGAACCGTGTTCCTCTGGGATTGCACTGCAGCTTCTTACCACTAGGCCACCAGAGCTCCCCTTACATCTGATCTTCTAACTGCTGATGCCAAGGGTGTTGATTGTGGATCCAAGTAAAATGAAGTCATTGGCTGTTTCAATCTTTTCTCCATCTGACATGATGTTGCCAATAGGTCCAATCAGTGGTCAGGATTTTTGTTTTCTTGGTGGTGGGATGCAATCCTTGCAGAAGGCTGTAGTGTTTGATCTTCTACAGCAAGCATTTCAAGTCCTCCTCACTTCGAGCAACCAAAGTTTATTTGTAAAGTGATTGTGTAGGATATTATATATCATCGTGTTTCTGAAATGCTCTATTTTGCACAGAATTATTACCCAGGAGGGTTCTTATTGCTCTCATACTTTGTAAATCTGAATCATGCTTGCCAAGAGGAATATTCAAATAAGAGCCAAATTAGTAAATGTGTTATCGCTTATGGGAAGGTAAACTATATGCCATCAAGTCTGTTCCAACTCATAGTTCCTTCATATGTGTCATAGTAAAATTGTGCTCCATGGAGTTTTCAGTAGTAAATTGCCAGGCCTTATTTCCAAAGACTCTGTGAATGGATTTGAACCTTCAGTCTTTTGATTAGTGTCCAAGCGCATTAACCATTTGTACCATCTGGGCGTAGGGACCCATAGGAAGATGCCAACTCAGCTCATTGCCTTGGAGTCAGATCTGACTCACAGCTGGCCCTCCAGCAGATTTTCAGAGACTGTAAATCACAAGGGAGGAGATTGCACATTTTTCTCCTGTGGTGCAGCTGGTAGATTCACCCTGCCTTTGGGTGGGCAGTGCAATCCCGTATTCTCGATATTGAACTGGAGTGAATCATACACGGTCGGGTTTTCTGCTTTTTCCTAAAGGATGCCTCAGTAATAGATCCTCTTAAAGCTAGAAATTCCTATCCAGATCAATATTCATTTTCTTCTTTAGAGGATATCACTGTTTTCAACTGAACTGATGACCTATCATTTGTCTTTATGCATTTCCTGAGAAATTAAATAAATGGGCTCAGCTAATGGAGAAGGGGTCAAATGATGGGAGGAAGCCTTTCCCAGCTGGGATTTATGGCTGGAGTCAGCCGGGGCCTCCCTGCTGGTGGGGCCGAGGCATGTCTCCTGCATCCTCTGGGGGAGAAAACCAGTAGCATCTTATCTTCTCCTGGGTTCAGGCTTTGGACAGGACTCCTAAATTGGATCATATACAGAGGAGGTCTGGGGCCCCTGTGTTGCTGCTGGTGAGGAGGGATCAATTTGAGTGGGATCTTCAAGACAGAGGCCTCCTAACCCAATTAACTCAGACTGGAACTGCTCACAGCCAGGCCACAGGAGCCCCTCTGGGGTTGGCCACAGTGACAGCCATCTCACAGGTGGTAATTTACTTGGAGATGGCAGAGGGAAGAAAAAGGGTGAGCGATGTGACCTTTAATTCTGCTGAACTAGACCTCAGTGATTTCTGGTCTAATTGTTTGAGAACCCAGCTGGCCTTGGAATAGCCATGAGGGCTGAGCCACAGCCAACCAGCATTGCATCTCTCACTTGGTCACCAAATAGTTCAATATGTGGCCAGTCAGCATGCAATGTTTCACTCACCAACTGACGCCCAACTGCGAACCTCACACCCAGTAACATGTGCCATCCGCTCTGTGTCACTGTAACCTGCATACTGCAGCCTTGTGAGAGCCTGTGTCAGGGTACCTGCCCTGTCTAGACCCACCTGTGATCTCTCACTGCTGAGAGCCTCTTCCTCTGGACTTCTGACTTTGCTTGGTTTACCAGCATCTCCTTCCTTGGACTGCACAGACATGTGCACCCAGAGGCTAATATCTGGTGGGTTTCAAACACACCTACAGTTTTGACGCAGGCGTTATGCACAGAACAGCCAGTTCCTCCAAGAGGATTCAGATGTGGAGGGTCTGGCTAGGCAGTGTGCCTCCCCAAACTTCAGGCTGTCAGCCTCCCCAGCTAGCCAGTCCCCTTGCCTAATGGTGGTCTTTCAGCTTGAAACTCATGGTCTTTTTGAACATATATGGAGCAGACTGCATGAGTATCTGGGACAATTTAATGAACACCAGGCCAGGTCATTGTTTTATGTGGGACTTGAAGGCCAGGAGTCTATTATAAAGGGTTGCAAAGGCATTTCTTTAAGTCCATAAATGAACTTGATGGACAGCACGGTCATGCGGTTCTAATTCATGCTTCTGCATCCAGCTAAAGCCCTTTTGTCTTCCTAACAGTCACGTGCTCAAGTTAACAAATTCTAAGTGCCTCCATTCACCCTGTTCTTGTGTGTGATATACATGTTGGTGATGTTTGCCTAGGAGATAAAATAAAAACCCCTGGAGGGTGAGAGAACGTGTTTGCCAGACTAATGGCCTTCATGAGGCCCCACTCCTGGTGGGCGTGGCTCGATTTTGGGGTTGGGGGTGTGGCTGGATCTTTTTCCTTTGCTGCCCGAATAGCTGAGCTTGTTTCTATCATTCCGCTCTCCACGTGCTCTCAGGGATCACTGGGAGGGATGAAGGATGGGCGTCGGTGGTCAGAGACCAGTGAGGACATCTGCACTCGAGAGCGCTGAAGTAATTGCTGATGTCAGATGGATCCTGACTGAAAGCAAAGATTACCAGAAGAAGGTCTAGTTGGCCTTTATTGACTATGCGAAGGCAATTGACTGTGTGGATCATAACAAATTAGGGCGAATATTGAGCAGAATGGGATCCCCTGACTCCTCCTCCCAGATCCATTCATTTTTTTATCCCCACTTCCCAGATTAGAAGACGGAGGTCATTAGGTGGTTGTGGTGCTAGGGCTCAGATGTTTCTTTCACTGCGGGATTT